TTTCAAGGCAACGCAAGGGCAAAGCATGTGCAACTCCAAGCTCTTCGTCGAGAATTTGAGGTTCTTCAAATGAAGGCGAGGGAGTTTGTTTCAGAGTATTTTTCGAGGACAATGGAAATTGCAAACAAGATGCGGATTCATGGGGAGAAGCTTGAGGATGTCACCATTATTAAAAAGATTCTTCGTTCAATGACATCAAATTTTAATTTTGTGATTTGTTCTATTGAGGAGTCTAAAGATATTGATATTCTCTCAATAGATGAAATGCAAAATTCCTTGTTGGTTTATGAGTATAAGATAAACCAGTAGGACAAAGAAGAACAAGCGTTACAAGCAGCAACAAATGCAATCATGGCGTGTAATGGAGGTTGGAGAGGAAAGAATTCACACCATAAACAAGGTGAGAATGAAGTTGCTGACACTCAAGAAAAAGGGAAGGGACATGATGGTCAGAATTCAGCCGGATATAAGTCTAAGTCGGCAAACAAATCAAACATTGAATGCTTCCGTTGTTACAGGTATGGCCATTATTGCTCAAGATGATGTACAAATTTAAATAAACATTGAGGGGAAAGGTCTAACTTTGTATAATCAAATGAGAAAGAAGAAGAAGTTTCCTTGTTGATGGTGTGTGATCCCAAGGAAGAAACCCACAAAAAATTGTGGTATCTGGATACGGGTTGCAACAACCATATGTGTGGAGACATGTCTGCATTTTCTGACATGGACGAAACTTTTTGTACAACTGTAAAGTTTGGAGATAATTCTTTAGTTTCTGTTAAGGGAAATGGAAAAGTAAAAATCCAAACTAAGGACACATTTGTTTAGACTATCTCTAATGTTCTTTTTGTTCCAGATCTAAAAACAAATTTACTTAGTGTGGGTCAACTTCAAGAGAAGGGATTTGAAGTTATTATCAAAGATGGAGTCTGCAAAATCCAAGATTCCAAGCATGGATTGGTTGCTAAAGACAGCATAACTGTGAATCATACATTCCCTCTATACTTTCAGCAGTGCTCTAAAATGCGTAATGCGTTGCGATGCGTCGAGAATCAAGAATCACAAGTTTAAGCGTGTTAATGCGGAGAATAGGCGTCATAATG